GCAACATTGAGTACGAAATATCGAAGAAAAAATACTTACCAAAAAATGACATTATAATTACTGAATAATAATGAGTCATAACAGAAATACCAAATTATTGACATCATAATAAAAGTTTTTTCCCTCTAATTCTGCATTGAGGTAAAAAAGCAGACGATTCACTCAACTTTTCTTTCAAGTTCATGATTTAAGTTGTATTTCCTGAGCTTTGTTATTTCACGAGATTATTTAGTGCTTCCCTTTTTTTTCCAGATATTTTGTGAATAAATTAAGAATATATTATATTTCATCCTTTTTAATAAATAGCAGATAAGAAACGCACTCATGAATTTACTGCTTGCAACGTTGAAAAACATAAAGACGTTGTAATGACGGTAATGCAAAAAGTGCAAATTCTGCAAAAGATGGAGGCAGGTTGTACTCCTCGGTTTATAGCAGAATCATATGGAATTGCAACACGATTCTGTATGATATACGGAAAAATAAAGAAAAGCTGTTGAAATTTTACTGCAACAGTGATTCTAACACCGGAATCCGAAACCGGAAATCTTTGCACGAGGCAAAACCGGCAAACCTGGATACTGTGTACATATAATACAATGAATAATATAATCAATTTATATATGTAATAATAATTTAACACATATAATAAATTATTGCAATAATGTATATAATAATTTAATTAAATGTATCTAATACGCCTTATTTATTTTGCACTTTGAGTCTGAATATTATGATTTATCTTTTCTGTCCTGAAATCCGCACAAACTCTGGTCCCAAGCTTTGCGAATTTCTGGACTTCTACTGTATCTCCAGTATACAGTCAAAAGTCGTTAATCCGGACTCGTCGGGACTTCGGCGATTCCGGATTATCGATTTTTCCGGATTATAGATCATCAGTTTAAATCTGGTAAAATGGCATGCAGAAATTATAAAATTAAAAATATGAAACCGTAATTTATGAAATAAAGAACAATTATGATCTAAAGGGTATCAAAATTTACAAAAAAAAAAAAGCTTAATATTTATTTGTTTACTTTATTAAACATTTCTTTCAATGTAAGTTGTTTAAGTTGCTTCATTTTTTATGTGATAATACATTCTCTTTAATTCTATAAATAGACATAATTTCTTGTTCAGTTACAAAGTTCCGCTGTTCAAGTCCTATAATTGCTGTGTCGAGAATACCGACTAATTTGTCAATCGAAATTTTTTCGTTTTCAATAACCTCTGTCACTTTCTTCGCTATCGGAAGCGAATTATAATGACGAGGCATTTGATTTAAATCATATCAAAGACGGAGTACATCGAGATGAAATACTACATTGAGTAAGCAATTATAAGCAAAATAAAATAAAAAAATCTGCCCTTAAGATAAGGATAGTGCTGACAGATCAACTTCCAATTCATTGCACACCGCCACGGCGTTAAAGATAAACAAAGTTTAGATAAACAAACATTAAAGTTTAGATAAACAAAGGATATGCCTTTATCCATTTTTTGCAGCAATTCCACTTTTAGTTTAATGGACTCCGAAAGATACTTTCACTTTGTATATCCTTTACATATTAGTAAATATATATCGGAAATTCTATTTGACATAATCGAAAGTTCAAGCTTACTTTTATAAAATTGCTCTAACAGTCTGCAAAAAATAATAATTCGGATCCAATTCGAAGATTAAGGAACAAAGCAATCTGCAACATTAACTGAAATAGATAATTAGATAATTTTAGCTTAGCTTATCCCTTTATAACGGGATAAGCTAAGCTAAATTTCTGCGTGTCTACACGACGCATGCGCAGAAAGTTTGTAGCTTTGAGGTCCGGATTATAGATCATTCTGCATTATGGGTGTCCAAATTAACGACTTTTGACTGTACAAAGCAAATGTTACAGGGAGGGAATATCATGGGCAAATGAATTATTCTGTTTTTGAAAAAAAAGATTTCTGAAAAATTCCTTCTGAATCTTCTACTAAATGCAATAGTGATTTCAGTTAATGCCTTCTACCACATAGTCTAATTAACCCTGCAACTGCAACATGGGGGTAGAAATACCCCCAAGCGCAGTAATATGCTGGTAATTTTTTGTCTAAATTGGCGACACTGGCCTGACGTCATCAATACTCCTATTTGTACCCCTCTCACCTGTAGCTAAGTCATCGGATTGTTTGCAGTAGCCATTTCGCTTCAGTGGGCTCATTACATGTTTGTGGCACAGTTGGGCTGTCTCCATACTCCCGCGTTGCACTCATCGTTGTGGTTTGTAATAGGATTTACTAGTTGCTCTATAGTATTTAGACAATTTATGTGGTTCAGAGCAGTTTGAAATATGAGCGGTTCGTCCGAAGTGAGGATTCGTGCATTATTGCAAGAAACTGATGACAGTAGTTCGGACCCAGATGACTTGTCAGACTTTGATTCCGAGGACGATTATGTAATAGAATCCAACCACGCTTCCGATATGGATACAGACATCGACGAAGACATGGACATTGATGATGACAGAAACATTGACATCGAAGATCCTGCAACTACATCCTTTATTGGAAAGGATAAAAAAACCATATGGTGAAAAAACCCCAAACCATGAGGAAGGACAAGGAGACAAAATATTCTTTCTCACTAGCCTGGATCTCGAGGGCCAGCAAAAAATTGTAAGTCACCCATTGAATGTTTTTCACTCTTTATAGATGAACAAATTATTGACCTTCTTACAAAACGTATGAATCAGAAACTTGAGCTGGAGAAAGAAAAACATGAAAAAAAAACAGATCTGCTTATAAGACAAATAAAGAAGAAATAATAGAAGATCATCTGAAAGCTAGGTCCCAGAATGGTAGGCTTCCAAGAGAGCTATGCCTAAGAGCTGCAAAAAGGTGAAACTGGACATCGGAGGTCTGTCTAGCTCGCAGGTGTTCTATTTGTCCAAGATCGAAGGATTCTAAAATCAAAACTTATTGTAAAAAGTGCTACAAATTCATGTGTATGAGCCATATGTCCTCTATCTGCACAGAGTCTTCAGCCTCAAGTGACAGATGGCGAAATCGAGTAAGCAGGTTTGGAAGGTGTAATTTTTTTTTTTAAAGTTTTTTGTTTATTTATGTATGTTATAATACGATTTTAATTGCGTTATTCACACTTAGTTCACATTAAAGTTTTGAAAAAATGTTTTGGAGCAATGGCATTATGTTATTCTGCCCTCAAATACAAATTTGGTAAGCTTTTATCATGGGGGTGTAGGGACACCCCACGTTACAGCTTACGAGGGAACTGTCTACGTTACAGCTGTAGGGTTATATAAATGTCTTGAATATGGCAAGTCAAAAAGAAAAAAATACATATAATTCTCTCCAAATTTGATGAAGTTTCCAAGTTGATGGAGTTTATGAAATAAAATGCTCTTAAAGAAAATTCATATGAATTTGGTTCAATGCTCCAAGAACATGGTTTTATGGCTGTATGTCTTCGCCATACCACTGTGATATTAATGCAGTTGATTCTGTTTGGGGTCAAATAAAGCAATAAATGTACGGAACTGCAACACTGTGCAGACATAGCAATGTATAAATTATTAAAAATTACAGAAGCTCTTAAGTGTAACGACAGAAAACTGGAAGAAGTACTGCGTCCATATAGAAAACATAGAAAATGACTATGAGAAAAAAAATTATTTAATGGAAGACTTATGCAAGTTTCTAATTACATAGACTTATGCAAGTTTCTAATTACATCTTCTGATGAAGAGGATGACAATTTGGGTATGATTAGTGACTGTGATACTGAATACAGTCAAAAGTCGTTAATCCAGACTCGTTGGGACTTCGGCGATTCCGGATTATTGATTTTTCCGGATTATAGATCACCAGTTTAAATCTGGTAAGATGGCATGCAGAAATTATAAAATTAAAAATATGAAACCGTAATTTTTGAAATAAAGAACAATTATGATCTAAAGGGTATCAAAATTTACAAAAAAAAAAAACCTTAATATTTATTTGTTTACTTTATTAAACATTTCTTTCAATGTAAGTTGTTTAAGTTGCTTCGTTTTCTGTGATAATACTTTCTCTTTAATTCTATAAACAGACATAATTTCTTGTTCGGTTACAAAGTTCCACTGTTCAAGTCCCGTAATTGCTGTGCCGAGAATACCGACTTACTTGTCAATCGAAACGTTTTCGTTTTCAATAACCTCTGGGTCACTTTCTTCACTATTGGAAGCGAATTATAATCACCAGGAACTTGATTTAATCATATCAAAGATGGAGTACATCGAAATAAAGTACTACACTTAGTAAGGAATTATAAGCCAAATAAAATAAAAACATCTGCTCTGAAGATAAGGATAGTGCTGACAGATCAACTTCCAATCCTCGGTGTGAAATTGATAAACAGATTTCGGATTTCAAAACATACTTTCGCTTTGTAGATACAAATTACATATTAGTAAATATATATCGGAAATTCTATTTGACATAATCGAAAGTTCAAGCTTACTTTTATGAAATTGCTCTAACAGTCTGCAAAAAACAATAAGCCGGATCCAATTTGAAGATTAAGGAACAACGCAATCTGCAACATTAACTGAATTAGATAATTTTAGCTCAGCTTATACCTCCGTTACACATTAAATGCGCATGCGCACAAACATATTAGCAGCCGTAAAGGTCTTACGCGTTCTCGTAAACGCATGCGCAGAAAGTTTGTAGCTTTGAGGTCCGGATTATAGATCATTCCGGATTATGGATGTCCGAATTAATGACTTTTGACTGTAATAAGTATAGAGATAATAAATTTCATTTTTCAGCCCTCAATATGTATAATACTGCATAAAGATTTTAGTTCAAATGTCAAGCTTAGGTTTTTATTTAATATATAAACATTAACAACATGAAAGATTAAAATTTTATGCAGTATTTTTAGCTTCACATTTAACTACTACAAATGTTTACTAATAGGAAACAGAATTAATTAAATTTTTTCTGTTAAAAATTACTTTTTATAATATACTTGATTCTGCAAAAAATCTTCAAAATGCATCTGAAATTCAGCATCATCATCACCTTCACCAAGTTTGCTATAAGTTTTAGTGCATGGACAACAATCTTTCACTTCATCGACGCCAAGACTTGATGAATTTCCATTATCCATTGTTGTCAAATACTTCAATTCGTCTTCTTCACTACTTTTGTAATCAGGAAAAGCTCTGGCTGAATATATATTAAAAAAAAAAAAGAGAGAGAGAGAGAGAGAAACGAGGGGGAAAGAAAGTCATATTTTAATCAAGCAAATATTAAATAAAATATACTTTTCATTTTATAACAATTTTTAAAAATATGAAATATGAAAACTTACAATTCATGTTAGGCAATCATGATATAAATACAAGTGCAGATACATTATATTCAGTTAAGACATAAAATGTTTTAAGCATTTTCAGGGTCAATTTTATAAAATGAAATTAATTACAAATGAAACATAATAAAAATTATAAAATTTTGAAACAAAATTACGTTCTAAGCAGTAATTTCTTTGATTTATGAATTCCTCAGGCTCTTCTTCATATATGCCAGTTACAATATAGTGTGTTACATCTCCATTAGGTCTCTTTGGTGGTTTCCATGATATAACTATTTCACCATGGAGTGTTGATCGAGCCTTAATATTAACAGGAGGAGATGGTGCTAAAAATGGGGAAAAAGAAAAAACTTCAATTTAGAAATCAAATCTGGGTAATTCTAGTTGAAAATAATATTTGCCATACATCATAAAATGTTATTAACTCTCCAAAATTTAATTATGATAATATTGTTGTACTTGATTCAGGTAAGGTTTACATGACAACTGCAATCAACAAAAAACCTTGGGGTAATATGATTATTTTGAAAAAGATTACAAAGACGTTTCATAAAACAAGATCGATGCATATTGATAAGCATGAGCTAAAAATGAGATTTTAAGTGATAGCAAAAATCTGCAAATACTTGCAGACTCTAAATTAACATTGGTTAATATACTGAAGTGCCACTGCATTAGGGATAGCAAGGGCTATGCAAATTGTGTAGTGCTGCACATCATTTATGTGTAAGTGAGGGTGCTGTGGTAACTGCATATATAGCGCATACTGTGGTTGTTTTGAATTGCCAGTATGGGTAAAACTACCTGATTTAGACGGCTTTGATCGTGGACAAATCGTAGGTGTGCTACGCAAGAACCATTCAATTTCTGAAATCGTCAGACAGCTAGGATTTCCAAGGTCGACAGTGTCAAGAGTATACCAAGAACACATGGATGGTGGACCAAAAAACTAGCAATCAGGTAAACTGCAAAGGACAATTAGCCTTGACAGTGTACGGAGAGAGACAGCTCAAGCGTATTGTACATAGGCCAGAACAATAGCTTAAATTACCACCCAGTTGAATGACAGTGCCAGTCGTACAGTCAGTAAATGGACTGTGTAATGCTCGCTTCACCGTATGGGTTTTGGAGAGCCATCGACCTACGAGAGTACCATTGCTCACTGCTTGACATTGGGCTGCATGTCTTGCCTGGGCAAGAGAGCAAAGAGACTGGAAACGAGTAGCATGGAGTGATGAGTCTCGATTCTGACTACTTAATGCCAATAGGAGGCTGAGAACATGGCATCAGGCTCATAAAGCCATATGAGTATTCCTCTGACTTTTCTGTCATAAATTGGCCACCTTGAAGCCCAGACTTAAATCCTATTGAGCATGTTTGGGATGTTTTGGAACAAAGTTTGAAAAGGAATCACACAGCACCAACGAACCTTACTGAATTATGGACAGCTTTAGCCAATATTTGGTAGCCCATTCCTGAATGTTTCCTGAAATTTGTTGAATGCCTTGCCATGTGGCAGCCATTATCAAGGCCAGAGGAGGCCCAAATCGTTACTAGGTAGGTATCCCTAATTTAGTAGCACTTCAGTGTATTATTACATTCACCTCTAAAAAATCAGCAACTTCTTTATGCTCAGGTAACAAATGCCTTAGTCCGTTCTCTAATATTCAAGATCTGCTTCCTGCTGTGCTTGCTTCTTTCCTGCTGCGCTTGGGACTTTCATGAAAATTCAAGCTAAATTTATTATCAGGTATCCAAAAAAGTTTGTACAGGAGCAAAAAATGAAATTCAAACAGAAGTTATTGGATATTCTAATCAAGATGACTTCAGATGTTGACATTCCTGTCAACAGTCAGTCAATGCAGTCGGTCATGTCGATAGCAGTGTTGTATGAACTACAATTCAAAAGTGAGCTTCTAAGTGTTAAAAAGGTGATTTACAGCCATGCTTACTTTAGGAGTTCAAACTTGGTAGCCACGCTTCAGAATCTGTTAGAAAATAGGAAACTATGGCATGAACATTTTTGTATATCTAATTATTATTATACCTAATGTCAAAGGGTCATTAAATTTCATATAACTAGTCACGACAGAACTACTACTTTATTACTAATGGTGTACCTATAAAAGATTCAATAACACAAAATTAATATAGGAGTATAATTAAATAGTCTACAATAAATATTTACATTATTGACATTTTTCTGTAATCATTTGGAAATATCAAATTTTCTAATTAAAGAACATCCTTTGAAATATGAAATCTTCAGAGATAAAATATTAAGGTAAAGCATATATTTACAAATCTTTAGTGAAATATGAACAGTATATATTTAATGAATAATTAATATTAAAATATAAAAAAAAATTTAAACCAATCAAAACATGGTGCACATGAGAAAATATTAAAACAGTTAAGAGACACATACATAATATATGCATGTTTTGGTCAAAGAATATCGTTTGAGTTAAAATGATTAAAAAGTTAGATGTTCACTACAGCACAGATTTTTGCAGTTGTAAACTGAATCAATAGCAGAAGGAAGGGACTAAAAAAGCTATGAAGAATATTCTTGCCAGCATTTAGAGGACATAATTTTTAAAAAACAAGAATGAATGGAAGCAATAAAAAACTAACAATGTACAAAAAAATAGGCAAAATAAATATAATTAAAATAAGATAATAATTCAAATAAGACAGTAAAGAATTATAACAACAGTAATATTGTTCATTTTGCTATGGATTAAATTTTTTATGAAAATATGATTATTTATTTTATTGTATGATTTTATTTTAACCTTTTTATCCTTCAAATATTTTCTTGCAAGTGCATATATAAACATTATAATTTTTAATAAATATAAATTTGAAGTGATTCACAACTGACTGCTAAAAGATTAATTTATTCAATTACAGATTACCAACAGAAATTTCACATGGAAGGTTTTTTTTTTAATTAAAAATTAATTTTTAAAAAATTTTCTCATTCAACAAAAGTCATATAAATGATTAAGTCATTCTAGATTTCTAACCACATGTTAATTGAAATCATTAAGTATTTTAGAAAACTCACATTATTTTTTAATAATGCAAATTGCTACAATTCAGTACAATTTCATAAAAGCTAACAGAATGTTTTTAAAATTGTCTCTGATAAGAAACTTGTGACTTAATAATTATTTTTCTCCTTGACTTTTTGACTGTAACTGAAGTTTCTTTCTTCAGCTTTATTTTGTCCTTTAACTGAGTTTCTTTCATAAAACTTTCTGAAATCAAATCCTTATAGAAAGCTTTTACAACTGTGCCATGAAAATATGATTTTCTAGTTAGACAAATATACTTTAGCTTGCAATACTTTAGTCAGTATACCCTTTAATATCACTATTTATGTTTAAACCTAATTCAATAAACCACAGCTTCAGTAGGTCACTTTCCTTTCCATTAGCCAATAAGGTCTTTTTTTTTTTTTTTTTTTTTTTTTTTTTTTTTTTTAAATTTCAAACAATCTAAATCCAAAGTTTAAAAAATTTCTAAAATATACACAATAAACTATTATACACTATCTACTGTCTAGCTACCATGACAATTATTTGTGCTACTATGTCTAGGTGGTGGTAGTTACTATGATAACAGGGTTTGTATATTTAAGTATTGATGAGCCAAGTGAATATTTTATTATTTTGTTCCTTTGTTATTAAGGATTTATTTGTTATTTATTCTATGTTATTAGGGAAAGTTGGCTGCGAAAACATTTATCATTCATCTTCTCAGTTTCATCCCATATGCATGTAATGTCTCGACAGTTCATATCACTTTTAATTATTTTTGCTTCTATTGTTATTTCTTTTTAATTGGTGGTTTTTCATTATTTCTATTCAGCCTTGTATTTTTAATAGTTTGATAATCATCAATTTAAAAAAAACTGCCCTTCTGGTTTAAAAAAAAAATCAAATATTAAAACTTCAGGTATATCAAATCATGTACAATGTTACAGAATACTCTCTTCCAAAGCTTTAGCAAATTCTTTAATAGTTTCTCTCCTTGAAGCTATAAAAAGAACTTCTAGAAGTGACGGGAGCATCTCAATATACAATCAAGATAATTAGGAACAAAATATCAACAATGGCGAAGAGAAACTTCTGAACACACCTGGTACAAATTATAAAAGATTGATTGAAATTGTGAAATTGATGACTAATAAATGTGTTATATGGCAAATAACAAAAGACTTCTACATCAAAGAAGAAAAGAGCCACACCCACAAAAATTGATGTTTGTATTGAGAGAAAAATAGACTTCTCATGGTAAAAGGGCACTTCATAAAAAGTTCTGCGTTTGGTGAATTTTTGCTGGAAGAAGTGCATTAATAAAAGAAAAGTATTCATCGTAAGATTAATCAAAGAAAATTAAAAGAAAATGCTCATGATAATGTATTCTGGAGAATTAATTACATGCAAAAAATTATAGAACTTAAAGAAAGTGGCCATCACATTATTTATATTAAAAAAAAAAACATGGATTGATGGTAATTTAACATTAAAGAAATGTAGGCAAGATGATACAGTTTTGGGCACACAACTGAATGTTTACTCAAGAAGTAGACTTATTACTGTACATACTGGCTTTTCTACAGGATTTGTTCCATATGTTTAACCTGTGAAAAGCATCAGCACCAAGCTGCAAATTACCACAAACAAATGATGTATGAAACTTTTGAGAAATAGTCGATGGAAAAACTTATTACAAATTTGCAGCTTTAAAGTGTAGTGCACATGAAAAATGCTCCACATAATTTCCTAGAAAAACTCATCTATAAAATTGATAATATTATAAAAGAAGAGGGACATGACGTTGTGTAGATCCTACCCATGTGATCTAAAAATAATGGAATATCTAGGTCATCACTTAAAAGACTAATTAGAGAAAGAAATATAAACTGGTGACATAGACACAGACAATATGAAAAGTCTATTGCACTAAGCTACAGATGGAGTGACTTTCGAAGAATGATAAGTGCATTTCGAAGAATGATAAGTGTGGAAAATCTTTAAATTGCTATTGAAATAAGGATGAACTTGAGGAGAATTAATGGATGAGCTAATGATTAATGGATGAGCAACTCTGATTCACACGAAACAGAATCATATGAATGTGACTTAGATGACTTTTAATACATTACATTATGAAAATTTTAATATCTACTCCAAAAATGCTGAAAAAGAAGAAAACATGCATCCACATCAAACAAGATTAGAAAAATAAATACTTACTATATGCATCTGTTTTGAAATAAACTATAGAACTTTGTCCTCCTTGCTTTCCAGATGTAGTTGTATAAGTACGAATGTAAAGAGCATACTGGGTAAAAGGCTTCAGGTTTGCAATATTATAAGAATTATATTCCTTTGACTCTTGGCTAACTTCAACATCTCTTACAGTCCAACTACAACAAAATTAAAATTTTTCAAATATAATTTTAGAGAATGATTTGACATTAATATGATTTACAAAATTTAATTTTCAATAGTCTCAAATTCCTTAAATATAATTCTTGCTATTAAAAAACTTCTTCCCATGTAACATGATGCATTAAAACATTTTTAGTTAGATAAATGTATATTAAGTTTTCATCCTCTATAATATACATTTATTTTCGGAACCCTACTGCCTGGATTACAAATCCCTCATTTTCTATATTTATAAAACAGCTACCTAATATGATATATATGATAAATAAAATCTAAATCTTAATATAACTTAGTTCAAATTTTAAAGCACTCTTTTCTTATTAATCTGAAAACCACAGATAATGAACTAATAACAATTTATATGGGCACAAGAATGGTTTAAAGACCTTGCAGCATCCACCATAAAATGAGGTCCTATCAAGCATAAATATTTACCACTTTGTTCCTGATCTCAAGAGAATAAAGTTTCCCCATGTATCGGTGACATTGGAGTGTTGAATGCCATGGTGGGTAAGAGCACGTTTTGCAATTAGGTCTAATATGCAATAATAATTCCTTTTGATTAAATTTAATAAATCTACTTTTTATTGAAATATTTGGATTCTTGCTCGGGTTATTTAAATATTATTTCTTATAATATAAACAGAAAATCCTAATAGTACTTAAACATTCAAAATAAGCTACTGCAAAATATTAGTAATAATGACTACATTTAAATATTAAAATTTTTCCGTACAATAAAGAAATAAAAGAGTTAATAGTTTAAATATTGGTGCCTATTATATCCTAGTTTCACCTAAAACAACATGCCTAATGTACGATGTAAGCATCACATGTTATGACATGAAATGATAATACAATTTGAATAAAAAAAAGTTTAACAATAATTCAGGGAGTTTAACAATAAGAATTTAATATTCACTGCCAAAAAAATTTAATATAAAAATATTACGAATAAAAATGTTATAAAATATTTAAATTTTATTGCAAACATAAATTATTCTTTGATAGAAAGAAATAAGGCATTTCAACTTTAAAGCTGGGGATAAAGTTTTGAAAATAAAACATTCATTGTCTTGTCCCCCACAAGAAAAAGTGACTAAAATTTTATCCACAATTCGAAATGCCATTTATAATACAAACAATTTGAGGAACTATATGTCACTTAAAAGATAATAATGGAGAGCACATCACTGTGAACACAGATTAAACGAAAAAATATTATGACCATGCTGATATATAAATATTTAAAGATATTTTGTAGGAATCAACGTCTGGTGGAAAAGAAACACCAAAGTCAAAAACGAATGATCAAGAACATCAAAGACAGTTATTCCAGAAACGAAAAGGAAGGAGTCCAGAGTGGTGGAAACTGAAGTTAAAAGACATAGACATGAAGATCCAAAAGGAAACAGCACAAACGACATGGGGCCAGTGTAAAAGATGAACAAATCGACCAATGCAAACCAATACTTAACACAGATACTTAACACAGATGCTGGGATGATTGCTTTAATGAGTTGGCTTTTGCTCTAAGAGCAGCCAAACACGACACTTTTGGAAAAATACCATCAGAATTATTTTTGGTGAGGAAAATATTCCCTCCCTTGGGCAAACTGCTTGTTGTGCAGAAAAGGGAGGTGGAATTTAAGTGAGTGCGTAAAGGACAATTACCGTATTTGACAGCATATAAGACGCACTTTCTTTCCTAAATTTGGTCTCAAAAAAAGTTACCTGTGTCTTATATGTGAAGGACACAAGTTAACTTTCAATACTGAATGCTATTTTTAACCTGGATAAAGGTCTAGACACACATAACTTTTTACATCTACATGTGTGTGGCCTTTCTAAATAAGGATGCGTCTTATATGCCAGTGCATCTTATATGCCCTCAAATACGGTAACACTAGCCAAGGAACCTGCAATATGGGTTATAACTGCCAAAAGAGAGGGACATTAAACGGGAAGCAGCAGACACTTTTGGCGAACCAGGTCAACAATTCCTGAGCTGAATGGATAGTTGGACCACAGGAAAGGCTAGCGACAAGCCCGAATCAACACCAAAAGGTGGCAGCCTGGGAGAAAAAAAAGCCAGACATAAATGCAAAGAACCGATGGACAAAGAAAGCAGCAGTGGCTCTGACAGAGATTATGTATCTGGCAGATCAGAGAATTTCCTTCATGGGACCCATTATTAGAGAAAACGGTGGCTGACTTCAACAAACAAAAGATAAGTGCAAATTACTCTATTCAAATTTTTCTATATTTAAATACGAAATTGGCTGAAAATATTTCTGTCAGTTGTTGCCTCAATAGACAACAAATTAATTTTTGTATTAAGCAAGAAGCTTTATACATTTCTAGACATTATGTCATCAAATCTCAAACATCTCATTAGAAATAAAAAACGTTTATTAGACATTGTTCGATGAAAAATGTCAAGCATTGTTCCGTCAGTCACCCAAAGGTCGAGCCATTTATGTGAGAAGCCTTGTGGAGTCTTCCAAAATAAAGAAGACAGATAAATGCTCTGATTTCTGTAATATTTGTGGATCGAGCATCTCTCTATCTTCCAAATTTGACAGCAATGGATTGAATATAAATGTTTACACAATCTACTAGAATTTTTACTATTCTTTTATCCATAAGCAGTTGCCAAGAATTCTTAGAGGAGAACACAAATTTTGCTTCACAAACATTTCCGAGCAATTTTTCTCACAGTGTTGTGAGCAAAAGTTATCACAGCAAGTCTTGGTGCTTTTTTATTCCATTTTGTCACATTATATTTGCAAAGATAACAATTCGCTGACGGACACAATTTTACTTAATTCATTACTAGATTCATCGCTTGAGTCCAATGCCTCTTCAGAATTCGATTGGTGATCACTAAACTGTTTTTCACCAACTATTTCTTGTCCACTTCATTAATTGTATCTTCATCAGTCGAAACTTCGGCTGATAGTTTCTGCAGTCTTTTCCATCGTCATAACTCACATAGCAAGACCTTTTTGCAACTGCCTTATCTCTTTCACAATTTTAAATGACAATGCAAGCGTGCGCCTCGGGCCTGGGAAGCCCGGTTACTCAGTTTTTAAGAAAAGATGAAGGGTTAAATTCCGGAAAGGCTTGTGAATTACAAGTACATGACCTTAAACGCAGCTACTGAGAGGGTCAAAAAATTTCACCAAAGGAAGATATTTTTGTATTACATTTTTGTAACGACCGAGCCTCGCAGGCCTGCCGTGCGTTCTCATGGGTTAATAGTATTAAGAGACTGAAATCAAATTCCCCCACTCATATTATAGTCAATACAAATTTGGCCTACTAGACCAAAGTTTGCCAAATAACTTAAATGTAAACAGGCTTGGTATCATAAACTATCCAGATAATTCATTAGAAATAGAACAACCTAATTATCTGGATGGACTATGGTTCCAGTCAGTCTAAATAACCGAAATTCTGCTGGAATATGCACTTTATTTTATACATAAAATACAAAACAAGCAAATGCAGTAAAAAGAAATGAGATAAGTACTACTATCAAATTGTTTAAAATTTAAAACACTTATTACTTACATGTCTGTTCCACATGCATCACGCCCTTCAAACATTGTAATATTCCGGTATGGACTATAAAAAAAGAAAGTAATATGGCAAAAGTACAAAATTATAATGCATCTATCAAAATAATTTTAACTATAATTAAATGTGGGGGGGGGGAATTTACAAAATTGACTTTCAAACAAAAATCAACTCAGAAAAGAATTTTCATTTTATTTATAAAAGAATGTTATTTCACAATTATACCCCAAAATGATTGAATTAGGAAGTGACTCATAAATATTTTATGATGCTCTTTTAATACATAAAATATTTTAGAAAATTAATTTTTAGAATCATGATTGCTAAAAAAAAAAAAAAAAAAAAGAATATTGAAATACTAGAAAAATATATGATCCCATTTTGCATGAAATCAGAAAGTAGTATGTAAAAATAGACTTGCAATTTACATGTTGCCACAAAAATATAGTTACCTTTAGATTTAATTTCAGATGAAAAAATATAATTAGAAATATAACACTCAGTAAATAAATACTTTTGCACACAACACTAGATTGCTTAAGGCATTAAAACATATTTCTCAGAATTATGGTATGAAAATATAATTGTTGTGAAATTTTGATCAGAAGTATAGATAAAATAGTTCTTTAAAATGATTCATTTTCTTATACTGATGAGTAACACACTTTTACAATACCAAAGACTGGTGCGTGCCTGTAAATTCAAGAAAGGAGCATTTCAATAATTTGTAATCTTTTACTTTTTTTCCATGTTACATAAGATTTGTGGGAATATTCAAGCAATAACCTTAAACTTTAAACAAATCTATTCTTAAATTTTTATGGAATTTTTTATATATAAAAAGGTCACATATTGAATTTTTATTTGCTAACCATAGCATATGCCTAAACAAGTTAATAGCTTACTTTTAAATAAATATTCTTTCTCGAATAAGTTTCAGTGCACATTGATGTGTATCATTTAGTTTATCCTTTCTAAACATCAGCTCTAGAGTTAAATGCTAAATTTTCTTTTAAATAATGATATGTTATTTATTTAAATAACATTTTTTTATGTAATTGTAGGCCAATAGATATGCTTCCGATTCATTTTATTTCTATTAAAATAAAATTAAAAAAAACAATAATTATAAACAAAGAGGTATAAAGGAAATCAGGAGAAAATATTTGGTTTCTCTACCTGAAGAAAAAATGCTTCACTGCTCAGTACAAGCATTACCAATTTTTATAATGACCGAGATGATTTATGGTAACCTACTGCTAGACCAATATTTTATGATAATCTATAGTTTGAGCACTGCAACGTTTGACTCATTTTTATTTTTTAAATAATGCATTTTAATATGCATAAATTCTGTGTTTTAAATATCATTTATGGCTGTGAAATAGTAAAAACCAGTTTCATTTTGCATTTTTATTTGAAATATTGATTTTATTATTTATGATGTTTTAAACAATTTTATGCTGTGGATGATGAAATAAATGGCATCATTTTATTTTTTAAATAATACATTTCAATATCTATAAATTTTGCATTTTAATATGCATAAATCTTGTGTTGTAAATATTACTTACGGCTGTTAAATATTAAAAAGATTTAATTTTGCATTTTTATTTGAAAAACTATTAAATTGACTTTATTATTTATGATTATTTAAATAATTTTAATACTGTGCATGATGTAATCAATATTAGCTGTTCAGCACTGTGCTGTATGATGTGATCTGCTTGTGGTTGCTTTTGATTGGTTACTTTACTGGCTCGCTAATTGGTTACAGGATATTTGTGCATTACTACGCTATTTTAGAAATTTTATTTTGTTATCCATATGCGCAGGTTTTATAGTTTGTTTTATTCTCAATTTTACACGATAGACAGATAGCAATTTTCTTCAATTTTACCACCCATGAATGTTGTTATTGGTAAGTAACAATAATTGGCATCGGAAAATAACAATTCTTCTCCGAGACCTTATTCTGGCCAAATTGACTTTCTGAATCAGAGATTAAAAACCATCAAGGTTTACAATTGTCGAGAAGACTTTACAAGTCGAGGAGACAAGATACATAGCCTGGTATACTTAGGAAAATTTGTTCTTTGTTTAATGAGTATTCTTAGTGAAATTTCTTGAAACTATTCAAGATATAAATTATGCTGACTGGTATATAGTTCAGGGAGGGGCAACTAAAGGATCTTCAGAATCTTAAAAACAATACCTATCATTGGAAATATATTTTTTTATTATTTTTCTAAATGAACTTTTTTTAAATCTTCATGATTCATTATTTGGCTATAAATTGTTTTCTTTACTTATAAAGTTTTTGTTAAGTTTTTTTATTTCTGCCTTTGCTTTTCATTCTTCAAATTTTTTCATTGAAATCTAAATTACGATTCTGATTTTTTTTAATACCAATATTTGCTTAAAAGTTATTAGACACTTGAAAAAAACGTAAGCACATATTTTCTATTACTTTATATATGTATATTTCATTTTGATTCAAAAAATACATTATTTTCAATAACTGCTGCACTGTTTTTATTGCAACAGGTGTTTAACACTTAAGCAAATATATTGCATAAAATTATTTTGAAGTGTTTAAATTCAAGTAATGTCTTATTATAAATAATATTTAAATGTTGGTGCGATTTTTTTATATTTAAATGTTGGTGCAATTTTTTTATATTTAAATGTTGGTGCGATTTTTGTTGGTTGTTATTCTATTTCTTTGCTTATAAAGGTAATAATTTAACCTTACTTTAGTATTTTATACTCATAGTAAATGTATGTATTTACAATCACCTACCATCTTAAAAAACGACATTTTCAATAAAAAATTAATATAATATTTTCATTGATATCACATATTTATAAAGTTTTGAAACTGCATTCAAAACCATAGACGAGTATCTACCTGATCTTCGAAATAAAGCTAGAACATGCGAGTTTGCACAATTAATGGATGGTCTGATAAAGGATAAAATTGTTTGGGGTATTAAAAACAGTGTAATGAGAGCAAGATTACTGTATGAAATAGAATTAATACTGTAGAAAGTTGTGCATATCTGCAGAAATAAGTCCACATCAAATGAAAATAATAAAAAATGAAGATGCTGTTGTAAACCTGGCATGAAAGAAAAGCATAATAAGAATAAAAATATATCCAAAAGGATAAATATTAAAGAACGAGGAACCAAAGTTTATTTTAAGTGTGGAACATCTTATGAATATTGAAAGTGTGCTGCATATGGAAAAGTCTGTCATAAGTGTAAAAAGGCAAATCATTTTGTGATTCAAGTAAAGCTATAAAATAAAAAATGAAACTACCACGACAACCAAAAAAGATAAACTAATTAAACTACTATATCATGACTCTGATGAAGAGTTATAATTTTGTTTAGGTACGTTGAGCCTTAGTTCAGATATTAAAGAAGAGAAAGGGATTGTTGATGTTAATATTAATAAAAAAAAACTTAATTTACAATTGCATACAGTTAGTCCACTGTTATTTCTAAAAGCAAGGAGAAAATGATGGACATTCCCATACAGAAGATTAGTTACATTCTCTGGGAATGAAATGGATATGCACTAAAGGAAAATAAGCACTTAATTGCCAGGATGGAAGAAATAATTTTGTTGTAGAATTCCAAATTATAGACAAAGAATTACTTTATATTAGGATTAAAATCATATCTGCAACTAGATTTGATACAAAACATTATGTCTGCTTATACTAATGACTTACTGGAGAATATAAAGTTTAAAAAATATTACCTAAAGGTTTACATTGCTTGAATCGAGAATATAAAATCCAGTTAAAATAAGAGGCAATATCAATCATCCATCTTTCAAGAAAAATACCCATAGCTATATGAAATAAAGTGAAGAAAGGACTACAAGGAATGGAAATTTTAAATATCATTGACAAAGTAAGATAACTAACTGAATGGGTAAATTCAATGGTTACTGTTGTCAAACCTAACAAAATAAGAATATGTTTAGATCCAAGAGTTTTAAATAAAATGATATATTATTCTATGTTAACCACAGATTAAGTTGTTACTAGAATGCCAAAAGCAAAAATATTCTCTGTTTTAGATGCTAATAGTGCTTTCTGCAAATCCAGCTTGCCAAAAAAAGTAGTAATTTGTGTATATTCAATACACATTTTGGCAGATACAAATTTAAAAGATTACTATTTGGCATATGTTTGGTGTCAGCAATTTGCCAAAGAATATTAAACCAAATAACAGAAAGTCCAGAAAAAGTTGAATGTATTATAGATGATACCAATACCGTAATCTAATGAAAAGGAGCATGACTTAAAATTAAATTAGATGTTAAATTTGATACATGAGGATCGTTCTGGTATAGAAAAACATACAAAAAGACCTACAGATGTTTTATTTTTGTCACTTATGAACAAGCAAATAGAAATGTCATTTATGTTATGAATATGAGAATAGACACATAAAGAAACCTATGATACTATATGATGTTTCTAATTTACCTTGGTATAAAATTGGAACAGATTTATTTGAGTTAACAAAGATACATACATGTTAAAATATTATCCAACTTTTCCTTTAAATCACCCAATTACCAGATACTCAAAGTCAGACTTTGAGTCTGACTCTTGTATATTCTCATTGTCTGAGATTAAAACCACCCTTTGATATCAGCACACTGGATTTGAAAATAATTTTTTTTTTAAATCACTGAAACTGTTAACTCTAGCTACATCATTGTCAACATAGAAACTTTGTTGCAGGGTTTTCTTGAACTTAGGATCAAAATCTTGATTGATTTCAATGTAATATTCTGAAACACAGCAAAGAAGAAAAGGGTTGCTTTTAACTCTACAAGCAGCTTGTGTATCGTCAAACAATTAAAGTTACTTCTTATTTCTTCCACCAAAGAAAACACAAGAATTCTGCATCGTTTTTTCAAACCACAAGAAGGCTTTTCTGATAACTGCTACAATGCCAAACATTAATTTTCTAAACTGCAATAGAATGTATGGAATTAATCTGACAAGGCCTAGCCCACATTGCAGGCATTGGTTCAAGGAAGAATGGTTTTGCACTTTTGCTGAGACATCAAATACTGGTTAAATGGGAGTTGAATTACTTTTTCTAATGACAGGTTGATGATTTAAGTAGCTGCTATAGTCATCCTTGGCAAATAAAGTTTGTAACAATTATCTCAATTAAATTTCACTGTTTTCGGGAAGTGTTCTTTAGTTTTTAGGTCTATTTCCAGTTTTGATTTTTTCTGCATGGAAGCCTTCATTCCAATGATACCTAATCTCCAGAGATCAGATTTTCCTTCACAAAAAGTGATGTTACATTGCAAAATTTTCTTTTATAGTATACACTTATGGGACTTTACCCATTTATGTCCATCTTAGATGGGTTTTGACTGCAATTAAACTTGAGGCTAATAGCTTTTTTTAGCCCATCCAAAGCCTACCAATAACATCTACTCCAACAAGAACTTGAAGAGGTTCTTAAAAGGGATTAGTATCAGTTAAAACAACATCCATGTCTTTCAGTTCATCCACCCAAGTGTCTTTACTTACTGGCAGTACAGTTTCACATAAAATAACTTGTTCCCAAACTTCAAAACTGAAGGAAAATTCCCATTTAGATGTTTTAACTTTATTTCATAACAGTTATGCTTATCTTCCTTAGTAGAAACACTGCTAAACAATGAGTGTCTCTTAACCTAATATCTCTACGGTGGTGTCCGAACTAAAAAGGTTGTTGATGATGATTCTCTAGCAGGATTTGGCGATTGAGTCCCCTAATCCCCAATCGCCCTTTAAAAGAGGGAGTACAATAACGTATTTCTCCCACCTTCATAGCATGCTTTCGTGGTGTAATGGTCAGGACACTTCGCGAGTATTCAAGAGGTCCGATGTTCGACTCTTGGCGAGGGCATTGCTCCCTTTTCATGTCTCTCAGCATCAAAAATCCTTATGTCTCTACAAGGTTGGCTTTAAAAGTTTGAAAAAATACCTTTAGATTTGAAATTAAATTTAATAAATTAAAACCTTTTCCAAGAGAAGGTTTTTCTTCCTTTTTCTGAGTAGGCTTGTTGCAAGAGTGCAGTTGACCACTCATTAATTTCTTGACCTTGACAGACCACATTAATTTCTTAATAATTTTCAATTAAGGGTTCTAGATGCTTTTGAACACATCATGCATGTACTAAAAGATCTCTAAGGAAAAAAAAATTTAAATGCATTTTGCTATACAGCTGGCTAGTGCAAATTATATTTTAAACTAAAAGATCTCTAAGGAAAAAAAAATTTAAATGCATTTTGCTATACAGCTGGCTAGTGCAAATTATTTTTTATTACAATAAACTTGCAAGATTCAGAAATATATAAGTGCAAGGCAAAGTAACATCAAATTTAATAACAAGCATACACTCTGTTTAAGAAAAATGCTTTAACTGTAAATTTCAATATTTAAAATACAATGAAAATGAAATCCATACATATAAATAATGAATGACACTTACGCTTCACGGTAATAAATTACATATCCCAGCAGATATCTCTCATCATCTAATTGTTTGCTAAAACTAATCCATTTGACTTTGACCATAGAAGGAGTTAAAGTGTATACTGTAACATTCATATCTGTAACACCACCTTGGGAAAACAAAAATTTTTAATTGAAATTAAAAAGCAAGAGAAAAAAATTAGTACACGCAATGACATAAATAAACCTTTTACAAGCAAAAATTATAAATATTACTTTGTTCAATTAACTGATTTTAATATTATTTTTAAAAATAGTAAGGCCACTTTAATACAATATAAAATAATTTTCGGCATTATCATATTATTTTCCCAAATGTAAAAAGATTCACCAGACAAAAGCACTAGGTCACCAAAGTAAACAATCCGGAATGAAAATTATTTTATCCGGCAACCCACTAAAAGCATGCCATTTCGGAGTCAAATTGTTATGTTTGTGGTTTCTGTTTGTTATTATTTTTTCCTTTGTAACGAATTGTAATGCATCTGTGGCGTTGGTCTACTAATGAAAGTGTTGAACTATTTTCAGAAATATGGCATTCTCTCTAGTAGCAGCAGAGTGTCGAAATGCACATCCCATGAAGTTGTATTTTACAAATGATCAAACTACCCTAATTATCTATGGGAATTCATTTTGAGAAAATGTCTTGAAGGAAAGGAAAAAAGACTGTTTTGAAGAGATTTCAAAGCAAACAACTGACCACTAGACACTGGCAGTTAAAATGTAAATAGTGTACAAATTGATTTTCATTATTAAAGTAATAAAATGCATATTAAATTATGTATTTAATGTTGCATTATTATAGAAATCTTGAAACTCGGAAGTAATTAATGAACTGTTCTTAGGTGAGTGTGATAACTGTTTTCTCCAAATAAATGAGACTGATTTTTTTTTTTTTTTTTTTTTTTGTTAAATCAGGTCAATGTGTGCGAGTCAATCAGGTCAATGTATGAAGAGTAGTTTGTTCTGTAATGCTTGAGAGTTTAGCAAGCCTCTGATTATTTTTACTTTTTTTTTTAGTTAAAACAGATAGCTATGCACATGGACAGAAGACCAGGAATATTGAAAGTTAATGTTTTATTATAGCGTTTTTAATTCAGTTAATTTGTTACTGCTTTATTAAATTTCGAAAATTTTTGTTTTTTGGATTTTTATCATTCCATCATGTATGCATCTTGCATTTTTAATCTTATTAATTCGTTGTTGTTTTATGTAATTTTCAACAAGCCATTCTTTTTTTAAAAATGGCTACTGATTTTCATGTGTTAGGTTGATGAAACATTAGTCCATAACAGTTGATGGCACTGTGGAACAGTTCGGCAGATAACACGATAGTACCTAATTTTCTATAAACCTAGTTTAAGAAAAAGTACATTTTCTTTTCCATTAATTTTTTACATGGTTCATCTTTAGTATATTATTTGCATGCTTGTTTGGATTAAATCTTAAAATAAATTCATGACTTATTTGTACTCGTGATTTTTTAAAAATTTTGCACACATATATATTTATTTGTAATGATAATAAATGAAAACAATTTAGAAAGTAAGGTGTAACGAGAGCTCTAATAGATGTAATAATTTTCTTGTTATTATGAAATTTTGCCTAGTGAGAAGCATAACACCACAGCATTAAAACACTGCTGATAGATGGCACAGGTAAAATGGCATAGATGTGTTACATCATTGCAGCAGATTATTAATTGTAAGATGGCTAGACTAAAGGAAATGTGGTTGAATGCTAAAGTCCAAAGTATGATAAGATTTCTGAATATGAAGTAAACATCATCAGCAGAAATTTGTTGTCTTTTTTAACCTCCCAGCACGCACGCATGCACAAAATTTACGACAAATTCAGTTTTTAATGCACATTTTTCGCATATTGAAGCTGAGATGTCTGGAGGTCATTCCTATGCCTCCTTTCTACCTTTCCACACATCATGACATCATGGAATGTGCCAACAGGAAGTCATTTTACTTCCCCCCCCCCCCTTTTTTTTTTTTTTAAACTGTGCTTCTGTGGTACGTGGTGGCAGCTTTTTCATAAAATTTACGACACGCATGTGATCGTGTTTTAAAATTCGGAAATTTTTTTTCTCAAATATTTTGTAATTTTGTGTTATTAACTGCCGTTTATTATTTTAATTTTAATACATGTGGCTCTGTAAATTTTACATCGGTTTTCATGGCAAAAAAGAATGTGCAACCACAGCAAAAAAATATGTGATTTTGCTCAGATTCTTCAAGAATTTTTTGATGAAGAAAAGGAAGACAAGGAAACCTTTGGATGGGAGAACAATAGCGATTTCCATTCCTTATTTTCTTTTATTTCTATTTTTTAGAAATAAATAAAAACATTAAAGTTAGTTTAAAGTGTGTTTTTGTAACCAGTAAGAAGTAAATTTCCTTGCAGAAGTAAGTAATGCTAAAGTTACCTTTTTTCCTACCAAGGTGTTTTCCTTTTTTATTGTCTATACAGGTCTTTGATGAATATTAAAATTAGCTTCGATTTAAAAATTATAATTATTAAATAATAAATTTAAAATTTTCTATAATGAAATACATCATTGCATTTTCATCTCACTAACATAAGAATTTAAAAATAATATACTTACATTTGAATGTGATAGCATTTGTATTTTGCAATAATAAGGTTAATATTTTATTTCTTAACAAATTTATTATCAATATTCACTCATTTCTGTCGTTTTTCGTGCCAAAAATGGTAAAATAATGGATGTCATAAAAAATACGACGCTCGCGTTCTTGTGTAAAATTGCCAAGCGCACGTGCTGAAAGGTTAAGTGTATGGTACTTACATACCCTGTCCTATGAACCAGTTTGGTTTTGATGCACCAAGTCGGAAAATGGTAAGACAGATGAGCATCGATCTGATTTCCAAGCATGTCCAACACAGATGACAATATTTGCCTTGTTGAAGCTCATGATTCAAGATGATTATTAACCGTATTGCTAAACTGCACAACATTTCAGTGAAAAGTGTGCTCAACATCATGTATAAGAAACTAGGTTACCAGAAGATGTGTTCATGCTAACTGCCTAGACAATTTACAGATGACTAGCCACAATGATGGGATTGTCTTTCATGCACTTGATGCAGTTTAATGCAAACACTGTTTCATTCTCCATATTATGCATTCCAGTCACATTAATGTGACCACTGCCTACTTTTGGCACCAACCTGAAAAAAAAAATCATAGAGGACAAGTGGCAACACTAGCAGTGGAGGGTATATAACAGGTGTCAGTGTGAAACGGAACACATTTAACTTCACTTCCAAATTACAGGATTACCTGACTAGTGGTACCACTGCCACCAATATCAAATACTCAGATGGCACTCTGCCCATGTTTATCAGAGACAACATTGCCCAGCATAACAAGCTATGAAAGCAGTACAGCAGAGATTGGAATCCTGAAACTAAAATGGAAATCAACAGGCTAACGAAAAAAGTCAAAGCTTTTATCACCAAACATAAAAATGAAACATGCAGCTACAAAATTGATAACTTAAATTTGGATGATAACTCTTGCTGGAACTGAAAACGAACATTCACCAATCTCGAACAATCAGATTGCAGACTCGTTATGCATACACAGTTGAAGAAAAAAAACAGCTACCTTCGCCCAACATCTAAATGAACAATTTGTCCCAAAAAATTCCCAAATAGTAATGGCGATGATGTTGAAAATTTCATGCAAGAATGGCTTCATGCTAGTACTACGAACAACCTAATTCAGCTAACTTCGCCCTTTGAAGTCAAAAATATTAACATGAATTTAAACTCAAAAGGCCCCTGGAAGGGATAAGATCATGAACACACTCATTAAGCATTTACATCACTGTGTCATCACCAAGCTTACCAGAATTTACAATGCTTGTCTCTCCCACTCCTATTTTCACTTACCTTGGAAGCAGGCAGTATTTTCACGATATAGAAACCAGAAAAACCTCCAGACGAACCACCGAGTTATAGACCAATAAGTCTCCCATTGACGATGGGAAAGATTTTCAAAAGGATTATCTACAATCAAATTATGCCTTATCTAGATCTCATCACAGATGAACAACACGGATTCAGAAAAGGACTCTCGACTTCCCATCAGCTGGTCCGTATAACGGAATTCATTGGTGCAGCTATTCACAACAAAAACAGCACAGCTATGCATATGCTAGACGTGGCCAAGGCTTTTGACCATGTCTGGCATAAAGGACTCCTTTTCAAACTCATCAATATGCATTTCCCGAGGGAATTAGTGCTCATACTCAGTTTATTCCTTCATAACAGGACTTTCTCGGTTCATCAGAGCCCCCTCTGATGAACCGAGTAGAGTAGTGATCCCCGGATCACTACTCTATTTCTCATCATATTCAAGCCAGTATACTCCAAGGAAGTATTTTAGAGCTTACTATGCAGATGATACTAGTATTATCGTTAAGAAAACCAAATCATGCTTTTTGAAAAAATTCAACTACAAATTCCAGCCATTGAAGATTGGTGCCATAAGTGGAAAGTTAAAATTGATCCTGAAAGGTTTAAAATTCTGGATTAGATATTAGGAAATATAAAACCACAAACTCTCTTGACTGCACTGTTACTCTTTTTGGAAAATCTGTACCTATTGTAAGTTCAGCTAAAAAATATCTTGGAGTCATCTTTAACCACTCTTTCACATGGTCTGCGCATATCAACAGTGTCTGAGGATAAGCTTATGGGATACTAAGACATCTTTACCACTTATGGCACTTATGAATCTGGGCTAAATCTCACAAGAAAGAGAAGACTTTACACTGTGATCATTAGGCCTGTTATCATGTACACCTCCCTGGCCTGGGCAAGAGCCAAAGACTGTGACATTCAGAAACTGCAAATCCTCCAGAATAAAATCTTACATGTGATCACAAATATCCCATTCTACATAACAAATGAAAATTTGTACAAGGACTTAAAAATTGACTATGTGACACATCACCATGCTTAACAACTTCTTTAGAAAAGCTAAAGTAAGTAACATTGCCAATTATGATAGTCTTCTGGACTATGAAGTTATCAAGGATGACTTTTATGCTTCCTACCAACTCAGAACAGT